GGGGGAGGTGGGAGAGACCTGAGTAGGTGAGGTGGGGCTGAGGGCTCTGGGGCAGGAAAGAAGGTGGGCGGGCGGAGGGAACGAAAGGACTTGTGAGAGCTCCGGGTGGGGGTGGGGGGTCAGGGATGGAGAGCAGTAGGGGAACAGCCCAGGCCAGCGCAGGGTGTGGCTGCTCTGAGAGGCCTCCTGGATCCCTTGGGGGCCATGCTTTCCCTCTGTGGGGAGGGGCTAGGGACGCTCTCCTCGCTTCCCCTGCTGTGTGGAAGGCATGGCCTTGGACTCTAAGCTCACACCCTCTCTCCTGCAGGTCCGTTCCTGGGGCAAGACCATGCAGCTGGGCGCGGCCCTGGTGCTCGGGGCGGCCCTGTGCCTGGGGTGTGGCCAGCCCCTGGCTGGGGCCCCCGAACACCCCTTCTCCGTGCTGTGGAACGTGCCCTCAGCACGCTGTAGGGCCCGCTTTGGTGTGCACCTGCCACTGGAGGCCCTGGGCATCACTGCCAACCGTGGGCAGAGTTTCCACGGGCAGAACATCACCATCTTCTACAAGAACCAGCTCGGCCTCTATCCCTACGTGGGGCCCAGGGGCACAGCTCACAATGGGGGCATCCCGCAGGCTGTGCTCCTTGACCGCCACCTGGCATGCGCCGCTTACCAGGTCCGCCGCAGCCTGAGGCCCGGCTTTGCCGGCCTGGCAGTGCTGGACTGGGAAGAATGGTGTCCACTCTGGGCTGGGAACTGGGGCCGCCGCCGAGCCTACCAGGCGGCCTCGTGGGCGTGGGCACAGCAGGTATTCCCACACCTGGGCCCCCAGGAGCAGCTCCGCAAGGCCCGGGTGGCCTTTGAACAAGCAGCGCGAGACCTGATGGAGGGCACCCTGCGGCTGGGCCGGGCACTGCAGCCCCGGGGGCTCTGGGGCTTCTATCGCTTCCCGGCCTGTGGCAATGGCTGGCACGGTATGGGTTCCAATTACACAGGCCACTGCCACCCAGCCGCCCGTGCCCGGAACACCCAACTGCATTGGCTCTGGGCCGCCTCCAGCGCCCTCTTCCCCAGCATCTACCTCCCACCCAGGCTGCCGCCCGCTCACCACCAGGCATTTGTGCGACACCGCCTGGAGGAGGCCTTCCGTGTGGCCCGCTCTGGGCACCCCCACCCCCTGCCGGTCCTGGCTTACACCCGCCTCACGCGCCAGGGTTCTGGAAGGTTCCTGTCCCAGGTGAGTGAAAGCTGGTGTGCGGTGGGGAGGCCTGTCCCTGTCCTAGGAAGGTCTGGGGGGTGGGAAGGGGAGGGTCTGGTTCTGAGGGGGGCGGTCCTGTCCTGGGCATCTGACAGGCGTGGCTCTGCCCTGGAAGTCAAGGTCGTGGGGAAGGCACAGCCAGCCTTTGGTGCCCTGATCTGAGGGGAGACATTCTCTGAGTGGAGGGCCGAGAAGCCACTCAGGGGCTCAGTGCCAAGGGGCAGTATCTAGAGGTGGAATCAAATCGTGGCAGTGAGTCAGGAAAGTTTCTGGAAGGTGGAGGTAGGCCCAGGTGGACTTGGCCAGCTCAGCCCGGGCTCAGCAGCGCTCTGCCTCCAGGATGACCTCGTGCGGACCATTGGTGTGAGCGCAGCGCTGGGGGCAGCCGGCGTGGTGCTCTGGGGGGACCTGAGCCTCTCCAGCTCTGAGGTGATCATTGCCCCCTCCAGCTGCCACGCAGCCCATGCTGGGGGTCCCAGGCTGGGGGACAGACCATGCCAGGGCCATGGAGCAGGCACACTGATGCGTCCCTCCCCTTTCCTCAGGAGAAGTGCTGGCACCTTCATGACTACCTGGTGGACACCCTGGGCCCCTATGTGATTAACGTGACCAGGGCAGCCACAGCCTGCAGTCACCAGCGGTGCCATGGCCATGGGCGCTGTGCCCGGCGAGACCCAGGACAGCTGGAAGCCTTCCTGCACCTGCAGCCAGATGGCAGCCCTGGAGCCTGGGAGCCCTTTAGTTGCCACTGTTACTGGGGCTGGGCGGGCCCCACCTGCCAGGAGCCCAGGCCGACGCCAGGGCCTCAAGAAACAGCATAAAGCCAGCGGTCACCTGCTGTGACTCTCCTGTCCCTGCTGCCATTTCGCAGCCCTTGAGGATTCTGTCTCACTCTTGTTCTATTTAGCTTAACAGTCCTCTCATCCACACACACACCCCCCATGCGATCCCTAGGGAGTGGAAGGGGCCAGAAAAAAATTTCCACTGTTTTAAAACCAGAGGCCCTCTGAGATCACCTGACCCCTGCTACAAAGGCAGCTGTCCTAGGGAGAGAGACAAGGTTCCAGATGGTTAGGGTGCCAGCCCAGGGCCCTGTTCCTACACATCACTGGGTCCATGGAGATGCGGAAGGAAGGGGACCTGTTCAAGGGCAGGTGGGTCTCAAGATCTTGACTAAGGTCTGTACGTGCTAAACTGCTGTCTATACTTTGCTTTCATCATAAAGTTACTCTTTCCTTTGCTGCCTGAGGTTTGACTGTTCTCTGTGTTGTCTCACGCCCCATGCTCATCGAGGCGCGAGTGTCCGGCTGCAAGTGTCCTGCGTGGTGGGCGGCTTAGTTTCAAAGTTAAGGATTGTGCGCGTTTGCAGGTGGTGTGGGTGGGGAGGACACAGAGCATTGTGGGTGCATAGTTTAGCTGGAGTCGTGGGCTCAAGGGTCACGGGAGTAGACTACAGTTCCCGAGATGCCCTGTGGCCAGCCGTAATACGCGCGCACAGCCCCCTGGGAGTAGTAGTTTAGGCCTCGTGGCTGTGGTTCTGGACCGGATGGCCAGGAACTCGCCTTCCCGGCAACCTGTGCAGCAGGGCGGGGCGCCTCGGCCGGTTTGGCAGGGCGGGGCGCCTAGCGAAGATGGTGGTGCGCGCGGCGTGTGGCTCCCGTCGCCTGCCTGAGCCT